GCAAAGACTATCGATCTCAAAATGTGTTATTTTCTACTTACTCTGCCAGCAAAGCATTACTTGCAGCCCTATCTATTTCTGAATATTTATGTACTCAATTAATTTAATAGTATTAAAATTCAAGATTTCTTTCTAATGACATATCTGACTTAATCTGGCTTAGGGCAAACATAGATGTTTTAGTATCCTCTTTAAATATCTTAATATGTTAAAATTTCTGTTAAAATTATGCAGAAATTTATACTGTTAATTCCTTTTCTTCTTTGAGCTGGGTTGTTTTCTTGCGCCTTGCAGACGTTTCATTACCCAAACTATCAACGCTGTTGTCGCTGATGATATTACCTAGTTTGGGTAATGAAATGTCTGCAAGAAAACAACCAAGCCCAAAGAGCACAAGGACCCTTCATTTCAATCCTGAGCTATAAATATTCTCTTTTATTGGTCCTTTTCTTCTTCTCCCCTTACACTCTCCACACACACACATTAACTTTGTTCCAGCAAGCAAATATTTTGAATCAGACCCTCAGTGATCAATTTCCTTATTACCTTAGTTACTCCAAGGCTCATACTAGGCTTTAGGGATCTGAAGTTAATATGGGGGATCTTACTGAATCCTAAAGGGTTTGTGTAAAGTAGGGAATCCAAGTTGCTGTTATTATAAAAAATGCAGAGATTGAGCCTCTTCAGTAGATGACCAACTATTGTTCCCATCCCCACTAAAAAATTGCAAAGAGAAAAATACTTCCCTCTCATACTGCTCTTCTAAAAAGTGTATAGCCTTTTATAGGGTTAAAGTGAATTAGATCTCAATAGATCATTAATATTTTAGAATGCTAACATTACTCTCCAGATCTCATCTTTTCATTATAGGTAGGGTTGTAATTTTTTGGGAATTATCATTGCAATCTACCTTTAAGATCAAGACAGCACTAAAGCCGATTATTCAGTTAGGATCTATCAAGTCATAAGTGGAAGTTAAATTTAGGATTGCTTTCTTGGCTTTTTGATTAGGGGGACAATCCAAATTATACAGTATTGATGTGCATGAAATCAAAAGCCATTACTAGTTCTGCTCCAGAAGGAGGGTCCAGTGCAACTTTCTTGGTGATGCTTTCCAATACTATTAATATTGTTATGAGGTGACTCAATTGAAAAGTCAATTATATTGGAGTGATCAGCAGAAAAAGGAGAAGGGACCACCATAGTACCTGTTGGCAGGACATTATAAAGGATAACACCAGGATAACCATGGCAGACATGAAGGAGGCGGTACAAGACAGAGCAGCATGGATAGTGCTGATCCATAAGGTGGCTGAGGGTCAGACATGACTGAATGGCTGACAATAATGACTAATATAATATTTTTCTATTGTTTAAATATTCTACAAAGCCACATCACCTTCCCTTAACTCTGAGGGAAAGCAGCACTACTTTTCATTGAAAAGGCTTTGTAATCACGGGGCTTTATTAGAATCTTATTCTTTTCCTCTGTCAATATTTTCTATTAAACTGAGATTTATATCATTCTGGTTCTTTACCTTCTTTCCACCTTCTCTTTCCATGGTTGCTTTTAAAATTTAAATACTTCCCCTTCAATGTGAAATCCACCACTATCAGCTTGCTGTTGACCTATCTCCTCATCCCTTAGCCTAATTTTCAACCTATGAAGATTTATAACATGCAGCAGCTGTATTCAATTCTTCTATCCTTTACATTTGTATCCTTCTCTCATTTTTTGATTCTTAATTCCCCCATTCATCCATCAAGTCAAAAATGCATATTACTATGCATATGCCCTTCACAATATAAATTATTATGGTAAATTAGTCCTCCATTATTTCCTGACATTGTATTGATTATGTTACATAGCCACTCTAAAGGTGCATAGCTAGTAACTAAATAACAAAGGGTTTTGCAGTAAGTAATAATGCAGAGAACAAATAGTCTACTTCATGGCTAAAGTTAGTTTCTCTACAAAAAAATAATTATGTTCCCTAGGATATGATTCTTACTGAGAGATGAAACAGAATACTTGTTCCAACTTGATATTGAGAGAGAACTGACCCCCAAATGAAAAGCTGAAAGATATCTCATCATGTAAATGGCTTTATTACCTGACTTTTACCTGACTGTGGGTTTTGGTAACATTTTGACCATGCATCAAGAGTTTTCTTCAGACTGTTCTTCCACTTCAACAAGCCAGCTACATAAACAATGAGAATAGCTATTTATAAAACAAATCGACCATAATGGACCATTAAATATAGTAATGATTGCACAGGTCCTTTTGTAGAAGAGAGATTTGTGGAATTGCTAACATTAATAACTGTATACTTTTGCTGTTTCAAAATGGCAAGAAATCTTGATGCCTTTTTTCCAGCAATTTTGTTTGAAAGTGGATGGTGAGGTACAGAAAAGCTGTTTGCATTAATCCTGGAGCTTCAGATTACATTATCTGCTAGAACAGAGAAGTGTTGAAAAATATCATTAAGTATTGGGAAACCCAATGTTCACAGTTCATCTGTAGGCAAGACAATGATTTGCATTAAAAGTGGTACATAGAAGATCGTGGCACTATTATTAAGTAGTATTTGGCATTTTTTTGTGTAAGGAAAAAAAACACAAGATGGTTACAAATGGAAAGCAACTTCATTTGTCTCTATTGTACAATGAAACAAGGTGTTTATATTAGAAATATTTGTCTAGAAGCACTCTGCAAGAAATCAGTCTTGACCATTGGTTTCCTCGGAAATGGTCTGAATACTTATTGGCCTTGTATGCCCAAAGAATTCTACCACTAAAGAAAAGGATATCTTGATCTAAGAGTTTTATCTTTAACTATGTACATGATACGCTGAATGGATGTCAAGACATCAATGCAAATTCTTTTTTCTAAAGATATATGTTAAATTGACAACTGAAAAGCCAGAATCAAAGTTTAAGAGGACAAATCATGTTCAGTTCCACATTTGTATAAATCTTCACACTTTTCTCAGAGATAAATTGACAGACACTGTAGTAATATTTTCAGCTTGTACTTTGTACATTCCTTATGATAATAGTGGGAAAAAAATGACAGATATTTTATGTGTTTGTTTTCATAACTGAAGAGTCATAGAATTGCAAAAATTGTAATAACTTGTCTACTAACAGTATGAAATGGAATGGATTTACTTGAAGAATAATAAAAGATTGAAGAAAAATTGGGGGAGGGCAATGTGGGAAAACAAGTGGAAAACCAAGTCTTAAGATATAAAATAAATGGAAAGCATTCCTGACAAAGTAAAATTTATTGAATGATGATATTCCAATATAAGAGGGGGGAGTCAATCTATTTTCCAAAGCACGAGAAGGCAAGACAAGAAGCAATGGATGGAAACTAATCAAGGAGAGAAATAACTTAGAACTAACTAAATTTCCTAATAATGAGAACAATTAACCAGTGGAACAGCTTGCCTTCAGAAGTTGTGGGTGCTCCATCACTGGGGGCTTTTAAGAAGAGACTGGACAGCACTTGTCTGGAATGATATAGGACAGGGGTAGGTAATCTTGGCTCTTTTATGACTCGTGGACTTCAACTCCCAGAATTCCTGAGCCAGCACAGGAATTGAAGTCCACGAGTCATAAAAGGCGTTGAAGTCCACGAGTCATAAAAGAGCCAAGGTTGCTTACCCCTGATATAGGATCTTCTGCTTGTGCAGGGAATTGGACTAGAAGGCCTGGAAGGTCCCTTCCGACTCTGTTATTCTGTTACAATTGCTGGATGGAGCGTTGCAAAATGACTTAATGTTCTTTTCGTGGAGGTTTTAATGATTGTATTCTTAGTAAAGCTATGGAAAATCAGCTTAATAGTACCATATACACATATGTGAAATAGCTGCACATTACCCTTATAACAAAGATTTTTATTGTGGGCCACATAGCTTGGGGCATAATTTGCTGCTCATATAATTTGCACTTCTACTCCTGATTAATTTGATTAAATAAAATCCTAGAAGTCAAAACAGTACCCACAACATAGTATATTGGCATTACAAATATTAAGCTTTCATAAATATATGCTGGCAAATGAAAAATTGTTCATAAGTTAGAAATATATATATTTCATACCATGTTTTCCCGAAAATAAGATCCAATCTAATTTATGTTTTTTTTTGCCTCCAAAAGAGGCACCAGGTCTTATTTTCGGGTGATGTCTTTTCCATTCACCTCGCCACGGCAGCACTGACAGCCCCACCCAGCTGGCCCACTTCTTCTGCGACTAAAGGAGCAGCTTCATTCTGCAGCTGAGAATGGATCTCCGGCCTGCATTTTGCAGCCAGAGGCCTTTCTGGAAGACATCTGCAGCTGAGAACGAGCTACAGATTGAATTCATTGCTCAACCTCTGATTGAGAAATGCAGGCCGGAGTTGCATTCTCAGTTGCAGAATGAAGCTGCTCCTTCGGCTGCAGAAGTGGGCCAGCGAGGCAAATGTCAATCTGTGAGAGGCCTGGTAAGCTCCACCCCCCACCCTAGCTTGATTTTTCGGCATGCGCCTCGCCCCAAAACAAGGACTTATTTTTTGGGTAGGTCTTATATTAGGCCCACCCCCAAAAATCAAGTTAGGACTTATTTTCAGGGTAGGTCTTACTCTCGGGGAAACACGGTATAGCATGGCCTTTCTAAAATGAGAATTGGCATCCAATTATAAAAAAGGTATATTATATATATTATTCCAAAATATATCTCAGTTTAGTAATGTTTAGAGATAAAATAGTTAATATACACAATATAAAATAATTATGCTTACGTATGTAATAGATTTCAGTTGATATCCTTACTGAATACTCAATTTAATTACAGTCATTAGTAAAGTCCTGTTCATAAGACCCAGGTGGGAGTGGAATTAAATAGACATAGGTTTTTATCCTGCTATCACAATAGTAGCATTATAGGAAATTATATTTGAATCAATACAGTTAATTCTCTAGTAAGATCTTTTATCCAAATTTTCTTCTAGCAACTGCCGCCTCCTTTGCCAAGCAAAACACCACCACCGCCACCTCCAAAGACCACTCGGAAACAAGCCTCTGTCGATTCTGGGATTGTCCAGTGAGAAAGAAGAGATACCTTGAAAGATTAAGTTGTAAAATTTCTGTCTCTTAAATATGTTTAAAATGTTTGCAATATTATATATATCAACCCAAATCAACAATATGAAACCTTAGTTGCAATGATTCTCACATTCCAACAGTTACTGATATCTCTAAGTATGGTTACAAAATTATTCAGCTGAATGCATTCCAAAGCAACCAGGAGCTGTTTTTGAACTGTGGTTCTGAATGGGTTCTAAGAACAATCAAAATATCATTAAGAGATTGCATTTGTGTCTTTATCTTTGCATTTGCATATGTAAGCCTTATGAAAATAATTGCCCTAATGCCTGCAATGTAGTTTAGTATTATAGCTGTATAATCTTTTACATTAAAGTGTTAGGAAAACCACTTATCATGCTCTAGGCTTACATTAGAGTTGGTCTCTCATGCATTGATTGGTCCTTATTCAATAAATTATCAGCTAGTTTTTGCTTATATGTTAGTGCAGAATATATTTTAGGTTCCTGGGTCAGCATTAACTTATAGGGAATAATATCTTATCTACAAATGTAGAAGTCTAAAAATATATAGGGATAAAAATGATGCTTTTGGAACATACAAAACCAATCTTACCTTTTGTATTTGATTCACAATTGTGTCACTATGTACAGACATTTTATATATATATTATGGTCTTACAGTGTCTTTAGATTCACTCATTCCTTTTCAGTAATAAGCGTATAGTTTATCTTCAAATGTGTTGTGTTTTAATTATTGATAACTGTTAAAATATGTAACAAGTCTAACAGAGTAATTAAGCTCTGAAATATTATGAAGAGTCAGAAAAGAATCTTTTTAAAAATGCCTCTATAACTTTTTAAAATCATCTGCAGATTTTATAATCTTAACCGTTTTTTTATATATTTCTCTGTCAAATAAAGAAATCCTTTTAAAGTATTTTCCTTTTCTAAGAAAATAAAAATGCTGGTTACTTTAGAATCTGTGTTTATTGGCTTACAATTATTAATATGAATTTTCTTAATATTGTTAGACAGTATTACATAACTATAAATGGATTTGGTTTGCCTATATCAGAAGACAGAGTTAGCTGTAAGATGCACTCAGCTTAAGAAAAGGACCTCCACTTGAAAAGGGCCACCTTCTCAGTCCCTGTTACTACACCCTGCCAGATTCAGAACACTCTTTGATTCAGGAATGGCATTCTGTTTTATGCAGGGAACAGAACAGAACAGAACAATAGAATAGAATACAACAGAACAGAATAGAATAGAATAGAATTACTATATTTGGCCAGGTGTAATTAAATACGCAAGGAATGTATTTCTGTACTGCTGTACTGCAGTATATATTCTGTGCTATTATACTGCTGTATCTACTGCCTACTACAGATATGAGTAAGTGCAATGGGGAATTAAGATTAGACTTTTCTTCATTTGCAGAAAAGCAAATGAATATAACTACTCTCTTCTAAATAAAAACATCACATTCATCACCACCATGAAGTTCTGACCTGTCTTCTTCTGCAGAATTCTAACAGATGTTACCACAGCAGCTGTGCCTCACACCTTACGATGTCTGTGATTTGTGGAAAATGCCAAGCTGAGGAAAGGAGGAAGGAGAATTTGATTCATTGATTGACAGATCTGCCCTAATGTCTGAGAGACTTTTGTAAATCTCAGAAGCCATCAGTTTTCCCAGATTTGAACCGCCTTCTTTTCCCCAGTTTTAATTGTTTTTTATGCTAAGCAAATTAACAGAAGAAAGTAAAAACATAAAACTCTAACAAAAAGATAAAAAAAATCAGAACTAAAAAAGAAAGAGAAAAAGGGCCTGTTGCCCTGTTGTTGAAGTAGAACAAATTAAAATGTCGTACCAAATTGTTGCTGCAAAATAGAGATTTCTTCCAGTAATTTCTTATTTTAGCCAGCACTTCTTTTTTTATTGAAAGTTTTTAAATTTTACAAAACAAATCCCTTCCCCAAACCCCCACCCTCCCGTACCGTCCCCCATCTTCCCCAAACCTCCCATACCCTCCCTCAACCTTCCCAGACCTGAGTACAGGTTTAATTAAAATTTTCAAAGAAAATAAAAAATAGAAAAAAACTTAAAACACATATAAATCCTAAACAAATCTAAATACCTTAAATTAAACAAATTATCTTCTCTAAAACATAATAGTTGCAAACATTAAACACACATTATAATATACTTTAAACATTTTCTAGTATTGTACTTATACTTATAATATACTTTAAACATTTTCTAGTATTGTACTTATATTATTATATTATTATCCATCATTCTATATAGAATCCCCATAACACAAATTTAAACATTACTTTCTTTAAATATCCACACCTACAATATAAGATCTAATCTCCCTCTTTCTTTACTCTAGAGCACAAAAATAAGCATATAAACATTCATTATACCATTAAGACTGGATACTCTTTTGAATAGTTAAACTAAATACTTATATTTAAACTTCTTATCTAAAATTTTCGTTCAATCTCCATAATCTTCTCTCCTATCAAGAAAAGAAAAAACTTAAAAAACATATAAATCTTAAACAAATCTAAATACGTTTAATTAAACAAATTAGCTTCTCTAAAAAATAATTATAATAATAGATCCCATAAACATAACTTAAAACATTAAAATTCCCTTATACCTGTTTAAATCTTTACCAATAACAAATTCCTCCACAGTAAACACATTCCTTCTCTTATCCATAAACCTCTTAAAGGTAATTCCAAAAAGTTTGTAAATCTTAGTTCTCCCGCAATCTCAATAGTCTTCTAAATACTTAAACTAAATACTTAAACTTAAACTTCTTATCTAAAATTTTCATTCGATCTCCATAATCTTCTCTCCAATAGCCAGTTCCATCCACTGTAAACACAATCCTTATCAGTCTCTCTTGTCCATAAATCTCGAAAGAAGTACTTTAAAATCTGCCCTTAAAGGTAGCTCCAAAAAATTTGTAAGTCCTGGTTCTCCCACAAACTCAGGAACCAATACTTGTGAGGCTTCCTTAATCTCCTTCTTCTGTTGGTCTTTCTCTTTACGTTTATATGTTGCACAAGTTGTCCTCTGCTCTTTCATCTCGACTTGTTGAGGCCCCTCAAACTGAAATTTCCCATTTTTAATTAATATAGGCTCTTCACACTGCAATTCTGCCCTTAAAGATTGCTCCAAAGAGTTTATAAATCCTACTTCTCCCGCAGATTCAGAAACCAATACTTGTGAAACTTCCGTGACCTTCTTCTGTTGATCCTTTTCTTTACAATTGTATGTTACACCGGTTGTCTTCTGCTCCTCCATCTCTACTTGTTGAGGCCCCTCAAACTGAAGTTTCCCAATTTTCATAAGTGTAAGCACTTCAGATTGCAATTCTGCCTTTTTATCTTCCAAAGCTTTAAACGTGATAGGTGGCGATGAACATACCCCCAGGACCGAAGTATAAAAGTCTTTTGCTTTAGAAACAGTATTAAGACTATAACGTATCCCCAGGTAATTCACCACCATTCCAGTCGGAACATCCCATCTAAACAAAATTTGTCTCTTTTTAAGTTCGTCTGCTAAAAAAGCAAACTCCTTTCTTCTTCTTAAAATTTTAGATGGGATCTCCTTTAAAATTATAACATTTTGTGAAGCAATTTGAAACCTCTTCTTATAAAAAGCTTGTATAATTTCATTGCGCAGGGATCTTTTCCCAAAGTAAATTACCACATCTCTTGGCAAATTCTTTTGCTCTGCCACCACAGAGTTAACTCTAAATGTCTGTTCAATTTCACTAAGTATTTCCTCTTTTTCTCTATTCAAAATCACAGCAAAGTCCTTTGCAACCATCTCTCTCAGATCTCCTTGCACAGACTCACCCAAACCTCTGATTCTTAAAGCATATTCCATTTGTTTATATTGAAGCATAAGAATCTCATCTTGAAAATTTTTCATCTCTTTTTCCATACTTTCAAATTTTTCCTCCATCAATTCCACTTTTTCTACTACTTCTTCTACGCGAGAATTCAACTTTTCAAGAACAGAGGCAACTCCTTTTAAAGCCAAAACTATCTCTTGCCTCAAAGTCTTATTGTTTTCCTCTAGAATCTCTTTCATTTCTCCCCTAATTTGAAGTATAACATCTCCCTTCATATCTTGCAAATCCTTCACCATTGTTGACTGTGGCAAAGAAGAAGATGAGGCTATTAATTTAGGTTGTTGCGCTGATGATGACACCGAAGAAGAAGCCACTTTAGAAGCTGTAGGGATTACTGGACGCTTTGGAGCCATCTTAAAAAAATCTTTACTCCTTCTTAGAAATTGCAAAAATTAAACAAAAGAAAAAAAGAAGTTAACTCCATAAAATCAAAAAAAAAAAAATCCTTCAAGAGGAGATCATTATAATAAAAAAAAGGAATTCAAAAAAAAGAAAAGAGAGAAAGAAAAAAGAATAATTAAATAGAAAAAATCAATTCCATTTTTTTAAAAAATACAAACAGTACAAAAAACAAACCAAAAAAGTACAAAAATAATAATACTAACACTCCATTCCAATCATTTAAAAAAAAACAAAAAAAAAGGAAAAGGGAAAGGGGAAAAAAGAAACCCCAAAAAGCCTGCTGGTCGCCATTCTACCTTCCGAAAAAAAAACACCGAAAGGCTTGCCGATCGCCATTTTACTTTCCCTTTCAACAAAGGAAAAAAAAATAAAAAGAGGGAATATAAAAGTAAAAATAAATCTTTGAACTTAAAATCCAAATAAAATCCAAGAAAGCAAAAACTAAATCCTCTACTCAGCTCTGTCCGCTTCTAAAAAAACTCACCAGTTAACTTTAATCGCGGAGGTGGTTGCAGCGGCTTGTTTTGTCCCTAGGGACAAAAGCAGCTGGGAAGCGGAGACAGTCTGAACTCCGTGGGAGCACTCTTCTCACCCCCCCCCCAAAAAACTTTGGGGTGCATAAGAGGCTCTACCACTATTCAGACACCACTCTACCCCCCCTTTGCCCGGGAGGGGGTTTTTGAACCGCTGAACAGCTGATGTCCGCTGTTCATAGCGATTCAAACACTTACCCAGGAGGACGGCTACAAAGTATCCGCCATCGCGCGCGCAGATCTACCGGAAGCTCCAGCCAGCACTTCTTTTAACCAGCCTGACTTGTGATGTTTTAACTGATTCCAAATGCTGTGATATCACCAAGAATAACCTATCTGAATGGGTGATTCAGAATCATATTAATAGTCTTGGTGTGTCTTCAATATTACAATAATAGGAAAAGACCAGTGCCTATAAAAATGTCCCAACACCTAATTGCATCTCCAGCAAATCTTACTAAATATTGTGTAATATACAGAAACAAAATAACATTTATGTTTCAGTCCCTGACAGTCAGATCTACCTTATGGAGGAAGAGTAATCATCTCTCAAAATGAGTCAGTTGCCAAGCATCTGAATTTTGATCACATGACCACAGAGATGCCGCAACAGTCTTAAGTGAAAAACATTTGTCTCTTTTTTCAGTGCTGTTGTAACTTTGAACAATCACTAAATGAACTGTTGTATGTTGCAGATATACCTGTATTTTCTGACTGTTTAAAGAAAATATTCTTATGATTAAGATAACTGAATAAATTATATTAGAGAAGAAACTGAAGCTGCAGAGAAGCAGAGCTATTTTTCTCAACTCTGTATGGGTTCGGAACAAAGGTTATTGTGACCAGTATAGTTTCTGTGCTTCACTGAACTCTTTCAGTAAGAAAGGCAAGGAAGAGAGAAGTGCACCCAACCTCTGAATAAGATAAACATCACAGAATTGGAAGTAAATTGGTTGCTGGTTTGGGAGATAGACTAATAAGGACAGCAAAAGTACCAAAAGCATTTGATCACACTGGGTGTAAGGGTCAAAGCCGACCTCTAAATATGTAGCTGTATATCTTCTTTGCCTCGGCTTCTTACAGTCACACAAAAGGAGGCA